GAGGAACAACTCCTCCCTCACCCCCGGGTATACCCCTGAAGCTACCAAGGACCAGAACAAGAACCTTCCCCCCCCCCCCAATCCCCCCCCACAGAGGTGCACGGAGCGGGTGACAATCTGCCAGACCACCAGAAAAAGCCTTCAGAAAGTAAGCGAGCTGTAACAGGCAACAGAAAACAAAGCCCCAAAACCACCAAACAACTTTGCAAACAATTCACACAGAACAAGAGATTCTCTCAAACTAGTTCAAAACTTTCTAGTAAAATTACCACCACAGACAGCCCAGCCACAGTCCCTCAGCCAACTCCTCATCTCAGTTCTCTTACCGATAAAGCAATATGTGGAGCTGCCTGTAGTGTTTTGATCCATCAATCATTGGCAAGCCCTTCTGCTTCAAGCTAAGTGCCAGCCATCCACAGACTATTGTCATGCGAGGGGGAAAGGGCTACTTGCTTTGTGTATTATTTCTGTATTTTAATATTAGCTTTGCTTGAATGTTTTTAATCCAGCCTGTTGTGTGGTCTTGACTCTTGTGGCATTTCAGACTGCATGTGCTAAAGGTTTTCTTCCTTGAGTACTCGCTAACGCTGCCCTTGAATAGGCAGAGTTACTGTCTCTGGTGTGTTCAGGAATTTGCTCTTGAAAGGCCTGACCACCAGGGGGGGAGAGTTAAGCCTTAATCACAGATCCTTCATTACTCTGTTTGGGCCATTGGCTGGGGGGCATTCTTTGATTGTGCTGGAGCACACTGGGGTTCAGGTGTTTGTTAATATGGCATGCCGAGGTGGCTACACATAACCTGGTTGTTTTTGCTGTGGTTGGTGACTATTCTTCTGGCGAGCAACCCCAGTGCCTGGGGTGTCTGCTTAGTTAACAGCCTCGAGGCATTGGGAATCCCCTGTTATGGATTGGTCAATCGAACCTACCCTCGCCAAGTGTGAGTGTGAGGAGTGCTCAATGCCTTTGCTATCAGACTATGATTTTTTCTGCCCCCCTACCATGCTGCCTATTGAACCAGTGCCACAAATGACCCCGAGTCCTGTGAGGTTTGTTCTCACTAGATCTGCATTTGGGGATAACATTTCCCAACTTGAGGTTATTCAGGTATCTGCTGCTTTATGAGTGAAATTTGCTCATGTTAGGTATTCGCAGCATATTGATCAGCTAGATGCCCCGGAGTTGGCCCCAATGGTGTTTAGGGACCTGGAAATGAAGGTAACAGGGGGTTCTGTTAGACCCACATGTTTGATTGGTAAATGGCAAGTTCCATCTTTCAGGTGATCCTGGGCAGAGCTTCTTTTGTTCCATTCTTGAGCTGTCTGTTCATTCCGACACTTTCCAATGACGTAAACAGTGGTAAGTGTTCCTGAGTGTTTCTTTTTCTGTGTGGGGGTGTGTCCTGTGATCACATAGCCAGTTTCTTTCAGTTTTGTCCCATTGTCCTTGGGTGGGCAATTGTTGCTGTTCTTTTTAGGTTGGTTGTGTTTGCATTCAGCTGTCCTTTGGTGGGTCTACAGATTGGTTTGGTCCTGGTGGCTTCCACCCTCTGTGGCCACTATCACCAGCCATGGCCTTTAGGGTGCTGGCTGGCTTGGACTGAGTGTAGTTTCGTTTGTTCAACCATCTTTCCCTCTTGTTCAGCTGTTGCTACTGGTGGTTCTGGGCTGGGGCTGTTTGCTAGCTGGCAATTTTTCTGGTGGCTAAGCCATGGTTCCAGTTCTATTGGGCCTTTGTTCTGGGTTTTCATCACAGTAGCAGCAACGGGTTCTTCTTGTTCATTTTGCTTGTTTCTTATTACTTTTCAGTCCATGGTTTTTTATGGGGCCCTGGTGGGATTTTTTTCACTTTGCTGTTAGCCACCACCTCCTTTTCTGGCTGTGTGGAAGTAATTATTAAAAGAAGGCACCAAGCCAGAGAGAGAGACTGTCGAGTTAGCTAGCCTCCTGTGGGTCTGTTGGTTCTGGGGATTGATGTGTTTGTGGTCCCAGTGTCCTTGGTTCCTTGTTCTGAGGCCTGGTTTGTCTCGGGTCATCCTCAGTGTCAACAAGTTTAGCCAGCCTGTAGAGTACCTTTGGGCCCATACTGTTCAGAAGTTTGCTGCATTTTTTTGGTAATATGCCTTGGGCTGTTATTGAGGCTCAGAAGGTTTTATCACTTTTTGATGGCACATTTTCCCAGCCCCCTCCTCCGAATAGACAGTACGGTTTAATAATAAATGTAATAAGTACAATCCTGACTACCGGCTTAGTACGTAAATACACTTAGTCGTCAGAAACGCACCAAAATATTGTGAATATTAGAGTTTACCTGAAAAGCTGTACAGAAAACCACGACCTAACCTAACCTCCTTAGTGTAGGAGGACGAGCATTTTATTGCTTCTTAATTACAATTAGTACTTAACCTATAGCTATATTGATATTACAGTTTTATAAAACTAATAAAACAAAACAAAAATCTTTCAATAAACTATAAAGTAACTCAGGATATTTTAAAATTTTGTATAAAATTTCTATTGTTTAATAAAATTGAAAAAGAAATACTTTATATTTAAAACTTGTGTATATGGAATTGAACACGAAAACTTCATCCAAAAATTGAGTGTCTTAACAGAAAATGAGGAGAATATATGGCGAGAATATATGGGGAGGCAAATATAATGACACAATTAAGTATTTATGTACTATGCAGACAGTAAGGAATGTACTTATTATATTTAGTATTAAAACGTACTGTCTAATCGGAGGATGCATTGCATTTTCCATTGCTGATTTCCCCTCCTTTGGGGATTATAGTGTGTTGCTTTCCTCTTCTCCTAGTGAGTCTGCCTTCTTCTGTTCTCAGTGGTGAGATAGCATTAGGGAGCACCTTTGAGCCCTTCCATAAACTCAGCATTGAATGTAATGAAATAGCACTTTCAGGTGGTTTCAAGGTGGTTCCCTGGACCCTCCCATCCCCTGCAGGTATTTTGGGTTTGCCTTTTGTTGGCTCATGACAAAGTGTACACCAGCTAAGCCAACAGCTCTTTGTGCTGCCATTTTGAGGTGGGGAGGTGGAACTTGCGGAAAGCTACCTTGCTTCTGGGTGTCTTGTTTTATGTTTGATTTTTTATTGCCTTTATGTTGTCTGTATTGTTTCTTCTTTCTGGAAAGTATTTCTCCAGAGTGATCTAATATCCTTTGTTCTCTACACCTCTATGATGGGGACAGGTTTTGTCCCCTGGCCTCTAGTAGACTTTTAACACTATCGCGCTCCCGGCAGAAGGCTGTAACTTTCCCCTTGTGCGCCGAGCATTTCAGGCGACCGCACGGCGACACTGAAATGTTTATACTCTTTTCGGTCTGCTGACCTTAATTTTCCATGTATGTATTTCATTTTGGTATCAATTTGTTCGCAAGAGAATGCTCTAGAAGAATATATATATATAATTTCACCAAAGCCGACATGAGACCCGCTCCAAATAAAAAAAACTCTGGCGTTCGTTAGCCGTGAGCACCAAACAGCGATGAAATGTTTATGCTCTTTTCAGGTTTGTCAAGCCTAGAATTGTTCTACGTCGTTAATTTTGGTATCACTGTGAACGCAATAAAATTCCGTACACAAACATTTGAATATAAAATACAAGACATAGGCACATTCCACCCGCAAGACTGTGGGAAGCTGCTCAAGGGTTACCCGCTGCCGCATGCCCAACTGCACATCGGCTACACCCCTACTGAAAAGATTATACTCTTTTCATGTTTTCGACTGTAATTTTTGATGTACATGTTTCATTTTGGCATCAATGTGTTCTCAATGAATTGTTTTAGAGGAACATATACGTATAACATGTCACCAAAGCTAACGTGATGCCGGCACCAAATAAAAAACTAAGTCGTTTGTTAGCCGTGCACGCCAAACAGCGCGAACATGTTGCTACTCTTTTCAGGTTTATCAAGTTCAAACTTGTTCGACATCGTTCTTTTTTGTATCACTGTGATTGCAATAAAATTTCCTAACAGACATATTCATATAAATTAGACAACATGGGGGCGCATAACCCACAACTACCCCTAAAGTCACCGAAGCCTTAGCCGCTAGAGCACATTCATTGCCACACCCGCTACACCCAATACACCAGACAAACATACAGTTTGCTAACAGAAGTTTTTGTGCAACATTGTTCATTGTGGTATCAAATTATTCCCAATAAAATGCTCCAAATAGAAAGACAAATATAAGCAATAACAACCGCAATATATATAAGCAATAACAACCGCAATATATATAAGCAATACCAATAACAAAGTATAAAGACTAAAGTCGGCCAAGTTACCCGTGGGTGCGCAAAATCTGTAAAATGTATATACTCGTTTCAGTTTTCTCACCTTATTTCTCGTGCTACATCGTTCGTTTTGGTATCATTGTGTTCACAATAGAATTCCCTATAGGGGTATATGCATATAAGGTCTAACAGCCCAGAGTGAGTCCCACAGCAAAGCCTAAAGTCGGCCACGTTACCAGTGAACAAGCACCAATTGGCATACCTGCAGACTAATGTATATACTCGTTCAGTTTGATAACAAATTTTCGTGCTATGTCCTTCATTTTGGTATCAAATTGTGTGCAATCTAAAGGCGCTCATTTTGAAACCACCTAAAAGTTGATCGGATGAAAATTTAATTTTATAAAAATATTTTAGTTTATGACTCTCGAGATAGTCATCGGATTACGTTCAGGAGAAAAACTTATAACTATAATAGGAGGGCTCGGAGCGCCATAGTGTTAATGACTCGAAAGAGTTTGATGCAATTTGATAAGTATGGAGCTATTCACAGCAGTTAAAATCAGGTAGCCACCTTGGACCCACTAGAATGTGGCATTTTCTTACATTTCATTTTTTCCTTATACATACTCCAAGATTACAAGAATATAGTCTTAATATCTTAACAGTGCTTATACACATATGACATTTGACTTTCGTATGTAACAATAACCCAAGAATATATCACAGCATATTTACCTTCAGTTATGTTCCATCTGTGACAAGTGTAAGGGGACAAACGATCTGCTGGATGTATTGGACATTCTTTATCTCCGAGGACAAATATGAGCTCCACATCTGGCATATCTTGCACCAACAAACCCAAGGTCTTGCGTATAGCATTTCGATACATGAAATGATTCCTTGCTGATATAATGCCAATAACAAGCCTTTTAAAGGGTAGTCCCACTGAAAAGATCATAGTTATACAGTATTATATTCTGACAATCTAGTTTCAGATTATATTTTATTTTCTAGAATATTCATTATTGTAAGTAGTAAAATAAAAGCTTTGCATCTACATTTTGAACAGATACTTTGATACAGGTAATTATTTAAATTTGTTCAATCTGCTTTAAATCAATTCTTCATAAATTACATTGCAACATGGAAGATAGATTCTTTCTACTTTCTTGACCTGACATATATTTGTAACCAAAGGTGATATCTGTTTAAAACAGCAAAGAAATGCACAGGAGCCTCAGATTAAATCCTTCGTTTAACACTTGGGATTTATCCACGAAGTAAATAATACAGTAAATGATTGTAAGGGATAGAGGATTAAGCAAAAAATCAAAATGGGGAGAATAAATACAGTACACCTAATTATCAGTTAGCATTTCTCTAAGAAAGAAAAGAATCAAAGGGATACAATTTATACTGTATTATAATGGCTAATGTAATAAGTTATTTTACATGTTAAGTCTTTCTTACCTCAGTTACATTTTAAGACTGGCCTTTGCAACTACGAAATTATAGATACCTACTTATTAATAAACATATACTTCATTTAATGTCAAGTTACATATACATTAAGCACAGGGTAAAGTTAAGAGACAAATCTCTCATTTGGTCAGTTAACGAGACTAAGGAACCAATCAGGTTGAGAAAGACCCTGAGAGAGCTCACAACATGCACTCCTAGTTATAGTAAAGCAGTGAAGCAGCAGATGGAATCACTGCTGCACACTTCAACACTCAATAGAAGATTTCCTTGAACAACACATTTCACAGACTGTATACCAATAATACTGTACATAGGGAATGGTCAGCAGACTTGCCAACAAGATGAGAGATTTGTTGAAAGACAGTGTGACTGATAATCACATAACACAGCCAGAGTTTCAGAGGAAATTCAAAAACTTCACTCAAGGAGTTACCACAATTCACAAGTAGTTCAAAGCAGGCAAACTGTTTAGTTGACCTGATTCTCAATAACCCTAAGACAGTCTGTATAAGCAAACTTCCCAAAACCTCAGAGATGAACATTCTCACAATTCCCATCATAGACTATTCGGAGTGCTGGCGAAACACCATGTTTATATTCACGGCTTGTCCTTCATTATCTTGAGGTTATCTTGAGATGATTTCGGGGCTTTTTTAGTGTACCCGCGGCCCGGTCCTCGACCAGGCCTCCACCCCCAGGAAGCAGCCCGTAACAGCTGACTAACTCCCAGGTACCTATTTACTGCTAGGTAACAGGGGCATTCAGGGTGAAAGAAACTTTGCCCATTTGTTTCTGCCTCGTGCGGGAATTGAACCCGCGCCACAAAATTACGAGTCCTGCGCGCTATCCACCAGGCTACGAGGCCCCTTTTGCTATATATTGCTATATATTTTTTGAACGTGTTAACAAGTGCTATATTTTCTAAGAAAAATTATGTGGGACTGTTAAGTGAGAATTGGGAGGTTTGGCAAGAAATTTTCTTCAGTTCAAACATATCAGCTCAATCAAGGAAATATATGTATTTTGAAAGTATGAAAACCAATGGGAATGAATTTAGTCTCCTATGTTGGAATTTCTCATGAAACTAACAATAATGTATTATAAAATATTTTTAAAAATATAATATCTACCAGTATGCATATTATAATATAAAATACAATTATTAGAAATGCCACAAAAAGACTAAAAAGGCTAAAATTGACATCATATGTTGCATTTTCCACACAATAAATAATACATAATGTGATAAATGTGAATCATTCACAAGAAAAATTAAGAGGAAAAATACAGGATGGAAAAGGAAAAGAGAAAGCAATAAAGAATAGAGGGAGAGGGAAAATGGTAAATAGAGGAGAGAGGGGAGGGAAAGCTGAAAAGTGGGGAGAGATAAAAAGATGGGAGGCTAAAGAGGGAGTAAGTAATTATCAAAAAGAGAGCACCAAGCTGGGGAAGCTATGTAGAAAGGGAATAGAGGAGAAGGGGGAAAAGGGGGTAGGAGTGACAGAAAAGAGGATAGAAGTGAGGAAGGAAGAGGAAAAAGATAGGGAGAAAAGAAAGTGAAAAGGGGAGTCTGGGAAAGATGGGATAATGGGGAAAGAGGGAATAGGAAGAAAAAAACAGGGAGGGAAGGAAAGATGAGAGAGTTAAATAGAAGTGGAAGGGAAAGATGGGGACAGCAAGAAAAATGAGACAGTGTGTGGAGGAGAAATGGGAAAGGGGAAAAAAAAAAGAGTGAAAGAGAAAGAGTAAGCAAAACATTGTGGTAACCTTAGGCATTCACATAATGGAAAAAAGGGAGAAGGAGAAAGAAAATAAAAAAAAAAAGAGATGGGTAAAAATGCAATCAAAGAGCATTAACCAACTACTGAGGTAACCCACCAGAGCTATGAGAAAACCATAAAACTATCAACACTTCAACTATCTATCAACTATCAACAAAACAAAACTATCAATTGGCCCTTAGTATGCCAATGAAAGTGATGCATAACAGGGAAGGGTTAGACTGTCACTGGAAGCTTGGTATTAGTAGTCAGTGTCACATACAAGCCAGTGATGAAAATTGAGGGGGTGCTACAGGTGTGGTACAAACCTACAATACAAGGCATTGGGTGAAAAGAAACATTTCTTTCTGAATGGGTCTAAAGGCTGCTCCCAGACCCAGAACCTGCACGATCTGCAAAGGACACGCTTCACTTGCTAGATAATATTTTGCAAATGGTCTTGCTATGTATAGTTGGGGAGGAGGAATGGAAAGTCTAAACTCACTCCACCACCGGATAGAGTAATGATGCATGGGAAATGCAAAGATGGGAATGAGTTAGTAATCAACAACCAAGAAAAGGATGACTGGAGCATTGCATCTGATACAGAAGAGAAGTGGAAAGAAATGCTAAGCCTCGAAGCATGCATATAACAAAGCCACTTACCCCCTACACAGTAAAGTCAGCCATAAAATAGTATCATTCTTTGGAATCTCACAGGTACCACTATGTCATTATAATGAGTTTGTTGCAAAATTTGCTTTGAAAATTTCATAGATACTCTCTACTGTAAGCTCATTCAAATCCACTATTTGTAAGTGGTGTCAATGTAATTCAACCCAGTAGTGGTATAACTAAAATTTGTTAGAATTAACCCTTTCATGTATTTGCCCTTTACCAATTTTGTGTGCTACCAGTGTCTTGAGCCAAGCTCAAATTTGCTTAGTGGTATTTTACTTCCAACACATACTGTGAAGTTACTATGCATAGTAAAGTGTTCAACTTGGTATGGTTTGTAAGCTAAAGAGTTGTACTTTAATTATGGTATTTTCAAAAATACAATGAAAGCAAAATAAAAAAATAAAAAGGAGAGTTAAAGTTAGACATGATGTTGAAAATGAGGACAACAGTCTTCATCAGAATATTCTGGTGTTCTGAGCAAATGATGACTGTAGGCATCACAAATGTTAAAGGGTTAATAATTAACTGTGCATCCAAGTTTGTAAAGTGAAGATGTTCTACCTATTCCCAAACTATACCAAGGCTGAAAGGGTGGAGGAGGTCAAGACTTCACTCTAAAAATGAAACTTTATGATCACTCTCTACCACTACCATTTACCCCAAAATATTGTTTATAGAAGGATTCTTACTCTCATTCTGCCTCTCAAGTAATCTCACAGTGTAGATCAAAGTTGCTGCAAATATGATCAATAAATTTTGAAGTGAAACCCATCGATACATCTTTTCTAGTTAGTGTTTGGCTGGACTTGAGTGATTTTCTTTACGATACGTGCAGTTCAATAAGTGCACTCTTCGTTATTCTTCTTTACGATATGTACAGTTTGCATGAAGGTTTTCTGACCCTGTGGTAATGATCAGAGACTTTTCACGGTGCCACATCAGTGCTAATTAGACAAGCAGGTCATCATTCTTTTTATTTACAATAACATATATATTATTTTTTATTGATTACATACAAGGTACAGTACATACATTCTTGCAAAGCCACTTACATGCATAGCATTTTGGGCAGGTCATTAATCTTAATTTTCCCTGGAATTCGACCCACCAATCGTTTAACAAGGTACCCAGTCACTGCTGGGTGAACAGAGGCGTACAGTTAAGGATTGGCACCTAGTCAATCCTCACTGGCCAGGATACAAATCTGGGCCAAACTGCTCATGAAATGCGGGGCAAGTGTGTTACCACTGTGCCATGGGGACTGCTGATATATAAAACACAAACCTTTATCTCTTATTTTCATTAGGTATAGTGAAAATTTGGTTAGGTATAGTTTGCCTAAAAAATAAGTAGCAGTGGCATACACTAGTTAAACTTTTGTCAGATCTTAAACCCACTTGTCAATGACTGCAAGCTATCCTGGGAGAGGTACCTATCCAGGACACAACATTCCTGCTCAGTAGGTTTTTAGACTTTCGTATATTTGTCCATCCTTTAGAAAAGTGCGGATACCATGCTCAGGGCAGAATAATTGGTATAAGATCAGCATGAAGATAACTTATGTAAATACCACGCAAATATGGAAATGCCAAGACTTGAATTTCAAAATCAACCTGGAAAAAGATTATCAAGGCAAATGTGGGGGGGGGTCTCTCGACAAGCCACCGGCTTCCCGTCCTCGTCGAGGCCACTAATGTTAGTGACCCTCAGGTAAATTCTGGTTAGATTACTGCAGTATTCCTCCTGTTTATGATTTAGCAAGACAAAGTTGTGTCGGTCTTCTCTTCTTGGTGTGTGCAGTGTGCTCAAAGTGTTTATCCTCCCGATGACTGCACGAGTACAAATGTTGAGAATGCCAAGGTTTCAAAAGTGTTTGTCGTGTTATGGTGTAGATAGAGAAGCGGCCCCAACACATAAACGTGTGTAGATCTGGGCACTCCAGCGCCTTGCTGGTGATGGCTGTTGTGTTGGCGGCGTCGGGTCCGACTATCGCTCCTTTTACTGTTGAGGTATGTTCGTTTTCTCTGGTTGATAATTTATTTTGTTATTTATTTATTTATATATAAAAACGTACATTGGAGGTTAACAGAGAACATAGAAATTAAGTTGAATTTACATTCTTGTAAAGCCACTAGCACGCATAGCGTTTCGGGTGGATACAAGACACTCCGTACATTGACAACATCGCACACTAATATTTTTACCACTTCGGACACCAGCTTTCGACATTTCGCATATGTGTACGTGTTCCATATTAAAACGACAATATAATGCTATTAACAATTAAAATCTTCTATTTAACAGGCATATAGTTATTAAATGAAGTTTAGTGATGTAATAGACATAATCCGGAGTTGGTAAGGACGCCGCCCGCCAGCGTAAACACAACACACCCGAATGCCCACAAACACGATACAACGCACAAAACACAACACTTCTGTCAGTTTTTGGATAAACTCCTTTTATATTTATTATGTGAGAGTTATACATGTATAAAATGATAACTATTATAGGTAAGCGCCTAATATTTAATATTAATCAATAAAAAAGAAGTCAGAAGCCACACGCCTGTCTGTACATGTCTTTTGTGTAAAAGTATTTTGGGCGCTCATGTACTTGTGCGCTAGCTGGCGTTCACAACTGTTCTCGCCTACAAGCATTAGAATTAAACAAACGAATTTGTTTTTTCATTTATATACAAGAAGAGAAGGCTTCCCTGGAGTCTGTAATATTCATCTGATCACTGATCTCCCATTTGGTCCTCATTGCTTTATCTTACTATTATTGAATGTCAATAACCGTATTATGCAATTTCAATTTCTTCAATTTCAATTTATTATGCACCCCATACCCATCCCGTGGGCGGTGGTGTAAAGGATTACAGAGGCACATAATCGGTTCAGGAACTGAACCCTCTAGTTCGTTTAGCTAATCAAATAACAATGTTTGACGCTAGTTACAAAATTATTAATGTTGTATACACATGTACACACACTCATACATACATGTACTTACATTTATATATATATATATATATATATATATATATATATATATATATATATATATATATATATATATATATATATATATATATATATATATATATATATAAATATATATATATATATATATATATATATATATATATATATATATATATATATATATATATATATATATATATTTGAGTGAGGTGGGAAGGGTGATGTGGCATTACATTTGAGTGAGGTGGGAAGGGTGATGTGGCATTAACACAAGACAGAACACTAGGGGATATTAATAGGGTATTAAAAGTATCAACACAAGACAGAACAGAAACAATGGGTATTGAATAGAAGTGTTTGTAGAAAGCCTATTGATCCATATTTCTTGATGCTTCTATATTGGAGCGGAGTCTTGAGGTGGGTAGAATATAGTTGTGCAATAATTGGCTGTTGATTGCTGGTGTTGACTTCTTGATGTGTAGTGCCTCGCAAACGTCAAGCCGCCTGCTATCGCTGTATCTATCGATGATTTCTGTGTTGTTTACTAGGATTTCTCTGGCGATGGTTTGGTTATGGGAAGAGATTATATGTTCCTTAATGGAGCCCTGTTGTTTATGCATCGTTAAACGCCTAGAAAGAGATGTTGTTGTCTTGCCTATATACTGGGTTTTTTGGAGCTTACAGTCCCCAAGTGGGCATTTGAAGGCATAGACGACGTTAGTCTCTTTTAAAGCGTTCTGTTTTGTGTCTGGAGAGTTTCTCATGAGTAGGCTGGCCGTTTTTCTGGTTTTATAGTAAATCGTCATTATGATTTACGTCAAATCGTTTATGACGATTTACTATAAAACCAGAAAAACGGCCAGCCTACTCATGAGAAACTCTCCAGACACAAAACAGAACGCTTTAAAAGAGACTAACGTCGTCTATGCCTTCAAATGCCCACTTGGGGACTGTAAGCTCCAAAAAACCCAGTATATAGGCAAGACAACAACATCTCTTTCTAGGCGTTTAACGATGCATAAACAACAGGGCTCCATTAAGGAACATATAATCTCTTCCCATAACCAAACCATCGCCAGAGAAATCCTAGTAAACAACACAGAAATCATCGATAGATACAGCGATAGCAGGCGGCTTGACGTTTGCGAGGCACTACACATCAAGAAGTCAACACCAGCAATCAACAGCCAATTATTGCACAACTATATTCTACCCACCTCAAGACTCCGCTCCAATATAGAAGCATCAAGAAATATGGACCAATAGGCTTTCTACAAACACTTCTATTCAATACCCATTGTTTCTGTTCTGTCTTGTGTTGATACTTTTAATACCCTATTAATATCCCCTAGTGTTCTGTCTTGTGTTAATGCCACATCACCCTTCCCACCTCACTCAAATGTAATGCCACATCACCCTTCCCACCTCACTCAAATGTAGATATATATATATATATATATATATATATATATATATATATATATATATATATATATATATATGTCGTACCTAGTAGCCAGAACTCACTTTTTGGCTTACTATTCAAGGCCCGATTTGCCTAATAAGCCAAGTTTTCCTGAATTAATATATTTTTTCTAATTTTTTTCTTATGAAATGATAAAGCTACCCATTTCATTATGTATGAGGTCAATTTTTTTTTATTGGAGTTAAAATTAATGTAGATATATGACCGAACCTAACCAACCCTACCTAACCTAACCTAACCTATCTTTATAGGTTAGGTTTGGTTAGGTAGCCGAAAAAGTTAGGTTAGGTTAGGTTAGGTAGGTTAGGTAGTCGAAAAACAATTAATTCATGAAAACTTGGCTTATTAGGCAAATCGGGCATTGCATAGTAGGCTGAGAAGTGCGTTCTGGCTACTAGGTACGACATATATATATATATATATATATATATATATATATATATATATATATATATATATATATATATATATATATATATATATATATATATATATACCCGTATAACCCGTATATATATAACCCGTTAGTAATATATATATATATATATATATATATATATATATATATATATATATATATATATATATATATATATATATATATCGTACCTAGTAGCCAGAACGCACTTCTGGGCCTACTATGCAAGGCTCGATTTGCCTAATAAGCAAAGTTTTCCTGAATTAATATATTTTCTCGAATTTTTTTCTTATGAAATGATAAAGCTACCCATTTCATTATGTATGAGGTAATTTTTATTTTATTGGAGTTAAAATTAACGTAGATATATGACCGAACCTAACCAACCCTACCTAACCTAACCTAACCTATCTTTATAGGTTAGGTTAGGTTAGGTAGCCGAAAAAGTTAGGTTAGGTTAGGTTAGGTAGGTTAGGTAGTCGAAAAACCATTAATTCATGAAAACTTGGCTTATTAGGCAAATTGGGCCTTGCATAGTAGGCTGAGAAGTGCGTTCTGGCTACTAGGTACGACATATATATATATATATATATATATATATATATATATATATATATATATATATATATATATATATATATATATATATATATATATATATATATATATTATATACATATACATATATACATACATATACATATTTAATCACCTACATACAATATTTAATCACCTACATCACACATCAATAATCTTTGTGTCACAGGTGATCAACAAGAGGCTCACAATAGTCACTATAAAAGGCACTTTACATCTATAGTTAGTGAGTCACACAGTTACTAGTCTTGCTCCACACCCACCCAACTGGGCGGCAGCTTTACAGTCATGTGCTCCACACCCACCCAACTGGGCGGCAGCTTTACAGTCATGTGCTCCACACCCACCCAACTGGGCGGCAGCTTTACATGTGCTCCACACCCACCCAACTGGGCGGCAGCTTTACAGTCATGTGCTCCACACCCACCCAACTGGGCGGCAGCTTTACAGTCATGTGCATGCAATACCTACAGTAAGCAAATTTTGGATACTTCGCTAAGATTTCGGGCAGCACATCATTATGAATGAAGTACTTACACATTTCATTATGCAACTTTAATAAAGTTGTCCATCAGCATTTTGTGGTGTTCAGCTACCCTTATCTTCTGTATGTTCCTCACATTACCAGTATACACAAACATTGACATGTAGGGATATAGACCCTCAGGTAAGTTAGTAATTTAAATGCACAGTAGCAGTCCTAGGCGTTCAATCCCCGACCGCCGTCCAAGTGGTTTGGCACCATTCCTCCCCATCCCATCCCAAATCCTTATCCTGATCCCTTCCCAGTGTTAAATACTTGTAATGAACAGGCACTATATATATATATATATATATATATATATATATATATATATATATATATATATATATATATATATATATATATATATATATATATATATATATTATTGTTATACCAGTATAATCTAATAATATATACTGGTCTAATAAAATAATTAGACCAGTTAATACTCTCACTCGTTGTGTTAGGATATGTTAGCTTGATAAAACTGACTGTTCATTGTTGAGAAATGTGTTAACAAACAATATATCTGACATTATCAAGACTGTAGCTTGTTTAGCAAAAGGAACTTTTTTTAAATTTGGGTTCAGTTTAACTACCGCTCAATGGATGAGTAATTGGGGCATAATAAAGGCACTAAGCTGATAAAATGAAAGATGGGAAAACAACATTAGAGAGATAAACTCGAGAGACGTTTTCATGTTAACCCGAAAATTATTTGAGGAGCAAGACGGACTGCGGGTCAGGCAATTGGTCTTCATGCTATCGTGATGGGGGATCAGCCATTACACGTGTTAATGACTCTTGTATAGTTGTGTAGTTAAGGACAACAGGGTAAAGGGGTAATGGGCATTGTGGTTGATTGTTCTACCTGGGAATCCTCCACTGTTTTATATCTTATGTATGTATGTATGTATGTATGTATGTATGTATGTATGTATGTATGTATGTATGTATGTATGTATGTATGTATGTATGTATGTATGTATGTACTAACCTAGTTGTGGTTGCGGGGGTTGAACTTTGGCTCTTTGGTCCCGCCTCTCAACCGTCAATCAACTGATGTACAGATTCCTGAGCCTA